GCCTGCAGGCGCCCAGCTCCCCCGGGCTGTAGCCGCGCACGCTGTAGGGCCCCCCCAGCGCAAAGTAGTCGTACGACGCCATGTCGCCTGGGGATTGGGCAAACGGTAAATCGACGGAAACTCTCGATTGCCGGTTCATGCAATGCGCATTGCTCGGGCCGTGCGAAAGCTGGGCGGGCGGGCGGGCGGCGTCGTCACACAGCTGGGGCAGGTGAGCCGTGTCCCAAAAGATGAGCGTGGGTTGGAGAGACGCCAGAGACGCCCCCGCCATCAGCGGAGCCCCGAAGCGCGGGCGGCGATCGCAGCCCCCGCCCGCCCGCGACGGGGCCACGGCTGCGGCCCCCGCACCTATGCAGTTGCCGGCGCGCGCGTGCAGCACGAGCGTGTTGGGCGCCTTGCGCCTGAGCCAGACATCATCATCAGTCAGCGGCCCCAGGCCGGGAAGCTGCACGAACTTGGTGAAGGCGGCGGTGACGCGGTTGTAGAGGCCGCCGCCGAAGCCGAGGGCGCGGCCGCCTGGCAGGGGAAGCTTCAGGTTCAGGCCCTGGTCGACCTGGGGGGGGATGTGTGTGTGTGTGTGTGACGTGATGTGTGTCTTGGATTTATTGTTTGGAGCTTTTCGAGCGTCAAGGGTTTTGGGAGTTGCAAGGGGTTGGGAGTTTTCGAGACACAGGATGCAGGGGTGTGGGGTGCGCTCTTGGTGCGGTGTGTTAGGGTGTCCTAGGCACTTGGGTTCAGGTGCGCGTGATTTGAGGTCTAGGGATTGTCAGGGGTGCCCAGAAAGGTCACCCCAGGGTAGGTTGTTACCGCCACGGTGTTCACCAGGAATAGTCCAACCCTCCCCACCCACCCACACCCCCACACGCGCACATGTGTACACACACACACACACACGCATACAAACACGAAGGCAAAGAGAGGTCACAAGACAGCACCCCACACTGCGGGGGGTGGCAGCACCACGCGCCCCACCTGCAGCAGAAGCCTGCGGCCTAGCTGGTTCCCGTTGACGAACTGGACGTTATCCATCGCCGCAAAGCCCTGGTAGGACAGGCTCACGTCGCGGCCCGTGCCGGACAGCGTGGTGGGGGGCCCGTTGTCGGCGTAGTACCCGCGAGCCACCTTGGTGCCCTGCGGTTGGCGGTTGTCGGTTGACGGTTGTCGGTTGTCAGCTTGCGGTTGTTGCGGGCCGCCGCACAACGTGGGCACAATCTCATTGCGACCGGGCCCGGAAGTATAACGCCTGAGCCGCCACAAACCGTCTCACAAACACAACCCAGGCGCACACGCTCACCAAGCCCCGCTCCCCCCACACACCCAGGGCCCAGCCCACGCACCCTGCCCCCACAGCTTCCTGTTTCCCCAGGCTCCAGTCTCCCACCCGCCAAGGCTGCCTTCCACCCCCCACACACACACCCATACCCATACCCATACCCATTCCCACAGCCCACACACACACACACACACCCCATTACCCCCCCTCCCAGACACACACATTCTCTCCCCCCCACTCACACACACACACACACACGCACACACCCTCTCCCACACACCCTCAAACACCCCCAAGTGAACCCACCTTGCTGACGGGCTGCCCGTTCTCGTCCACCGTCTGGATCTGCTGCAGCAGCAGCGCGTGCTCGACCTTGTTATCCTGGCCCCCCACGTGGCTCGTCCACCCCTTGGCGCCAAACCGGTCAACAAACACAGGCGGCACGTCGGGCTCCGCGCCGGGCGTGAAGATGGGCGACAT